GCACTTGTGAATGGGTACACTGTTTTCCTGTATTCTTTCTCCAATTGCTTGTTATTAGCATAAGAAAGGCTACTAATTTTTTGTAGATTGATTTTATAACCACTCACTATACTGAAACTGTTGATCAGTTCTAGGAGTTTTCTCGTGGAACTTTTGGGATCCCTTAGGTATAGTATCATATCTTCTGCAAAAAGGGATAGTTTGACCTCTTCTTTTCCAATTAGTACTCCTTTAATTTCCTTCTCCTGTCTTATTACTCTAGTAACAGTTTCAAACAGTATGTTGAAAAGGAGTGGAGACAGTGGACATCCTTGTCTGTTTCCTGATTTCAGTGGGAATGCTTCCAGTTTTTTTCCATTTAGAATGATGTTGGCTGTGGGTTTGTTATATATGGCTTTAATTATGTTGAGGTATGTTCCCTCCCAGTCCAATTCCCTCTAGGACTTTGAACATAAATGCATGTTGAATTTTGTCAAAGGCCTTCTCTGCATCTATTGAGATGACCATGTGATTCTTGTCTTTGAGTCCATTTATGTGATTTATGATGTTTATTGACTTACGTATATCGAACGATCCCTGCATCTCTGAAATAAAGCCGACTTGATCATGGTGGATGATCTTATTGATGTGTGTCTGTATGCGGCTTGCAAATATTTTGTTGAGAATTTTTGTATCTATGTTCATCAAGGATATGGGTCTATAGTTTTCTTTCTTGGTTGGGTCTCTACCTGATTTGGGTATTAGAGTGATGCTGACTTCATAGAAGGAATTTGGGAATTCTCCCTCTGTTTCTATCCTTTTGAATAAGTTAAGTAGTGTTGGCTGGAGGTCTTCTTTAAGTGGCTTGCAAATATTTTGTTGAGAATTTTTGTATCTATGTTCATCAAGGATATGGGTCTATAGTTTTCTTTCTTGGTTGGGTCTCTACCTGATTTGGGTATTAGAGTGATGCTGACTTCATAGAAGGAATTTGGGAATTCTCCCTCTGTTTCTATCCTTTTGAATAAGTTAAGTAGTGTTGGCTGGAGGTCTTCTTTAAGTGTCTGGTAGAATTTTGCTGTAAATCTGTCTTGAACTTTTTTAGGTGGGAGGCTTTGTATTACTGTTTCATTTTCCTTATATGTTATGGGTCTGTTCAAACTGTTGATCTCAGTTTAACTTTAACTTTTTAATTCAAGTAGTATTGGTTGGAGGTCTTCTTTAAATGTCTGATTATTTTTATTTTATGTGTATGTGTGTATTGCCTGCATATAGGTGAGTGTACCCATGTTGTGAAATACTCACGGAGGACAGAAGAGGCTGTCGGATCCCCTGGAACTGGAGTTATGGACAGTTGTTAGCTGCCATGTGGGTGCTGGAATTTGAATCTGGTCTTCTGCAAGAGCAACCAATGTTCTTAACCTCTGAGCCATCTCTCCAGCCCCAATAATTCATTTTTTTAATTTGTTGATTTTGTGTGTGTGTGTGTATATCACACAGAACATCCAAAACCATCTTACTCATCTATACACCCATTTCCCAGATGGCACCCTCCCATAGCCTCCCTCCCCCCACTAGTATAGGTTTTTAAAATATTCCCTTATAATGTTCTGGATCTCTTGGGTGTCTGTTGTGATGTTTCACCTTTCACCTCTGGTTTTGTTGATTTGGATTTGCTCTTTCTTTTAGTTAACTAGGCTAGGGGTCGTTCTATCTTGTTTAGCTTTTCAAAAACCAGGTCTTAAACTAATTCATTCTTTGTATTATTTTCTTTGTTTCTAGTTCATTAATTTCTGCTCTGATTTTTGTTATTTCTTCTCTTCTGCTGGGTTTGGGTTTCATTTGTTCTTGCCTTTCCAGCATCTTGAGTTGCAATGTTAGGTCATTTATTAGGGCTCTTTCTAATTTTTTAATGTAGGCACTTAGAGCTATAAACTTCCTTCTTAGGACTACTTTTAAAATGTCCCAGAGGTCCTTTTCATTGAATTCCAGGAATTCTTTTATTTCTTTCTTAATTTCTCCTTTGACCCACTTTTTGTTTAGCCCTGTGTTGTTTAATCTCCATGAGTTCATGTAGTGACTATGGCCTTGTCTGGTGTTGATTTTGAGCTTTATTGCATTGTAGTCTGATAGAATGCATGGAATTATTTCATTTTTTTTGGTAGTTGTTAAGGTTTGTTTTGTGGCCCACTATGTGGTCAGCTTTTGAAAAAGTTCCATGGGGTGCTGCTTGGGTGGAATATTCAGTAGATGTCTGTTAGGGCCATTTGATGTATGGTATCATTTAATTCAGATGTCTCCCTATTTATTCTTTGTCCAGCTGACCTGTCTAATGGAGACAGTGGGTTATTGAAGTCCCCTACTATTCTGAGTTGGGGTTAACCTGTGTCTTTAAGTGCTGTGTGTGTGTGTGTGTGTGTGTGTGTGTGTGTGTGTGTATGAATTTGGGTGCATCAGAGTTTGGCACATATATGCATATATGGTCAGGATTGTAATATTTTCTTGGTTAATTTGATCAGAATGAAGTGACCCTCCTTATCTCTTCTGATTAGTTTTAATTTGAAGTCTATTTTGTCAGATATTTTAATTGCATCTCCTGCTTGTTTCTTAGTGTCATTTGCTTGGAATATTCTTTTCCATCCTTTCACTTTAAGGTAGTACTTGTCCTTTAAGGTCAGAGGGTTTCTTGCAGACAGCAAAAAAATGGATTTTGTTTCTTAATCCATTCACTTAGCCTGTGTCTTTTGACTGAGGCATTCAGTCCACTGATATTTACAGTTATTATTGAAAGATGTGTATTGGATGCCATCATTTTGATTGCTGTTTGCATTCTTTGTCTAATTTTGTGTTTCCTCAATTACACCTTTATTTATTTTCTTTCATTGCCCTGGGGTATAGTTGTTTCTCTCTCTGCTCCCTGAATTGCTTTAAGTATTATTTGAAGGGCTGGTTTTGTGGCCATGTATTCTTTCAGGCTATTCATGTCATGGAAGATTTTTCTTTCCCCCTCAACTATAATAGACATTTTTTGCTGAGTGAAAGTATTCTGGGCTGGCATCTGTTGTCATTTAAAACTGGAAATACCTTGGTCCAGGCTCTTCTGGCTTTCATAGTTTGCATTGATAAGTCAGCTGTAATTCTGATGGGCTTTCCTTTGTATGTGACTTGCTGTTTTTCTTTTGCTGCTTTTAGTAGTCTCTTTTTGCTCTGGAAATACTTAGTGTTTTTACCATGATATGCTGTGGGGAGTTTCTTTTCTGGTCCTGTCTACTTGGTGTTCTATGTGCTTCTTGAATTTGTATGGGGATGTCTTTCCTTAATTTGAGGAAATTCTCTTCTATAATCTTGTTTAAGATCTGGTCAATACCATTATCATGAAATTCTTCTCCTTCCTCTATGCCTGTGTTTTTTCATGGTGTCCCACATCTCTTGCATATTCCATTGTGTTTTTAAAAAAATTTTCATAATCTTTGCTTGAGTGGTCCAGTTCTTCAACTTTATCCTCCAGTGTTGATATTGTTTTCCATTTCATTCATTCTAGCAGTGATGCTGTCCCCTGTTGTTTCAAGTTGGCTTATTGAGTTTTTCACTTCATTTCTGCCTGAGTTTTTTTCAATATTTCTCTTTGTGAATTAATTCAGAAGTTTATCCCTATCTTCTTTTAGTTCTTTGATTTGTTTGTGTGTTCTTTAAATTTGTTGAATTCCTTGATCATGTTTTTGATTGTTCTTTTAAATTCTGTGTTCTGGATTATCTCTAGGGGGTTCTCCTGGTAGAACTCTTCTACAGGATGGGTAGAGTTTGGTGGGGACATAGTGTTTTGGCTTTCCATTTTCTTATTCTTTCATTGTGATTTTGGTATGTAAATTTCTTTTGTTGTTTGAGTTTTCCATATGAAAATGAAGTTGAAGTTTGCTTCTGTTTGTATTATTGGTGTGCCTTGGTCGTTTTCTTATTGGTTATGTAAAGCTGGTTGATGCAGGTTTCAGGCTGTCTCGGGTTTTATTTTAGAGGGAACTGGTGGCTTCAGATCAGCTACTCAGGAGCTCCCACAGAAGCCCAAGTCACATTCGAGGCAGGTACACTTGAGTTCCTTCTAAGGTTTGGACCCCTACTAGAAGGAACTCAGAGCAAAATTTGAGAAGTTCCCTATGGGTAGGCCAGTACAGGCACTCTCTGGCAGTCTGCTGAGATCTGTTTTTAAAATAAATAAAAATAAATAAATAAAAGGCAAATGAATGTTGGCATGGATATGGAAATACCGGGACCCTTTCACACTGCTGATGCAAATGAAAGTAATACAGCCCCTGTGGAAATCAGTATAGTATTTCCTCAAAACATTAAATATAGAAAGCATAAGATCTAGCAATTTCACTTCTTGGTATATGTGCAGATAAACTGCAAGTAGAGACTCAAGCAGTTTCTTACATACCAATGTTCTTAGCAGCATTGTCAACAATCATAGCCCCTCAAAAGAAACAATGCAAATGGCCATTGGCAGATGAATACATAAACGAAAAGAGATGATATAATGGAATGTTGTTTGACCTTAAAAGGGAATGAAATTCAGATATTCCAAGATGCATGACTCTTGAATACAGATGCTAAATGAAATGAGCCAAACACAGAAACACCAGTGTGGAATTGTTCCATTTATAGGAAGTGCCCAGGAAAGTCAAGACAGAATATGAAAGGGTGACTACCAGGGGTAGGTGGTAAGGGGAAATGCAGTTTCTGTTTGGGAAGAAATTCTAAGTAATGGTAGATGGTGGCAATGGTTGTACAATAGTCATGTACTTACAGCACTTAAATGGTTAAAATGCTGTTTTGTATTACAAATACCACAATGATAATTGCATGAAATTCTGATATTGCAGTGAACTTAAAATACTATGCTAAATCAATAACAATCAGTATTTTCAAATATGAAAATATTGTATGAGTTTACTTTACAAATTAGGGAAATCTACAGAGACACAAAAGGAGAATGGATGTTTCCAGGGACTTGGGGAATGGAAAAGTTAATGTGTCACAGACACAGTTTCTGTCTGGGGTAACAGAAAGCTCTGGAGAGTGATGAATATTGTGAATATTCTTAATGACACTTAAAAAGAGTAGAAACATATAGTTTTATGCCAGGTATATTTTACCAGTGTTTTAAAACAATGAATTAGTTTTGGAGACCTAGTATACAGAAAGGTAACTATAGTTAATAATAATTTTATAGTTGAAATTTGCTAAGAGAGATCTTAAGTGACTGGGTGTCCTCACCTCAGTCTAAAATGGAGAGAGATTATATGATATAATGCATATGTTAGTTAGCTTGACTGTAGCTATCCAGTTTCACATTGTGTACATATCCAATGATGTTGGTCACCTTAGATATGTGCAATTTTTTGTCAATCACACTTCATAAAGCAGAAATGCCTGAATGACATTTTTAAAAGTGTCATTATAAATCCTAATAGGAAAAGAGAAAGAGAGGAGCTTTGCATCCTTACTGGAAATTTTTTTTCTTCATTATCACCTAATTGGAACTTTTCCCCCCTTAAACCTCACCTGATGTCATCAAATGTAGGTGAAATGCATATGCCTTTTTTGTTCCAGGTACGTGATACAACTCAGGAACCTTGCGGGCGACTCTCATTTATGAAGGAACCAAAATCCACAAGAGGACTGGTACATCAAGCTATTTGCAACTTAAACATCACTCTGCCAATTTATACAAAGGTGTGGTAAAATCTACTATAGTGTTTTTCAGGCAGTGTAGAAATTGATTTTCAAGTCCTTTGAAAAGATACTGAATGAATTCGGGTGGCACACCTTAATCCCAGCACTCAGGCCTGTGGATCTCTGTGAGATCAAGGCCAGCCTGGTCTACATAGTGAGTTCCAGGCCAGCTGGGGCTACAGAGAGACCCTGTCTCAAAAAAAGGACAGAATACAAGCACATGTGCTAATTATTTTTGATATCTAGTCCAATTTCTGATTGTCTGTGCCAATAAAGAAGTAATTCCAATTTATTTTGCATTTAATGCCCTTTGATGGAATTTTCATTAACATATATTAGACATGTGAGAGAAAAAAAGTTTAAGTTTTAATGTTTTCATCTGAGTTTTAAAACAAAAACGATCGGTTTTCTGTCCATTATTACTTCTGTGTGAATTTCTGAGAATATTTCACCCCACTGGAGTGTTATTCTGTTAGTATCTGTTCAATAGTCACAGCTGGGTTATGTATCAGTAATTTTATAACAAACTGGTATTTTATCTTCTTGCTGAAGTAATTACCTGTTCGTTTTATAACCTATCCTGTTTAAGAATTTTAAATTAACTTTTTAATATTTTAACATGATTAGTATAAAAATATCCACTTAGTAGAAGGAACACATTGTTGAAAAGAGGTTCATTAATTCCTGAACGAAGTGTACCTAACATCATTACTTTCTTTCCCAACCTTTTCTTGTGATGTAATTATTTTATTATGATGATAAAGAATGTAACTGAATAAGTTAAGTGTTGTGGGGAGTATTTTATATTATACTGAAGGTTTTTTTTTTTAAAAAAATACTTGTTTTAATCAGAAGCTGCAGGTCATTGTCTGTCGGTAGCTACAGCATGTGTTTAGTTTGTTCTGCAGGTTAAGGAATGGTGTGAGTGGTGCGAGTGCCGAGACCTGGAGGAAAAGTAGAGAAATACTAAACCTTGAGTCAACAAAGAATTTCCTATACTACTTTACTCCACCATAGTTGCCAAAGTGTGTATTTTGCTTAAATATTCATTCCTGTAAATAGAGATCAGTTACATAGAGAAAAGTTCCTACCATCATGTTTGATGAAGACAGTTCTTACTCATGGTTTTAAAAGAAATCAAATATCTATTTACACACAAAATATACACGATATTCCACAATTGGAATGTAGCAGTAGATAGATCAACACAAATGAATGTGATCTAATTGTGGTCCGTGATGGGAACACACCTTGGTGTTTGCAGTACTGAGTCTCTGGAGGCAGAATGCCAAGAATCACGGAAGATATGCACAGGCCACCCAGACACTAAAGTGTAAATGCATTTTGAGTGACTATAATCCTCTATATAATGAAAAGGAAAACATTTACTTCATTTTACATTTGACCCCAGAGAGGCAAGACATAGGACACATGGTTGCTAATACTATGGTGGTGAGGGATGATTTCTATTTAATAACTCAAGATAAAAAGAAAAATGTCAAACATTGCATATTTGAGATAATCTCTAGAATATAGTAGGGTTTTATTTTACTAAAACCTAAGTATTGAAAATAATTTGACACAAACTTACTGAAGGCTGTTGACATTTTCAGTCAATATTCATAGTGACTGGGATAGAACCATGAACATTTCTGGAGACCAAGACCAATTTCCATCAAACCCATTATGTATCAAAGGTTGAGACTGCTGGTGACCAAGGGTCAGGAATTAGTACATTTATCATTTTGGTTCTTTTGTCTCTGGAATATAAAAACTAATCATTCTTCAATCTTCTTTAATTTTCTGTTTGTCATCTATAAATTATTTAAGAAAAAAATCAGAGTGTTCTGATGTCCTGATGTTTGCTGGTGGGATATACTTACTCCTTTCTTCTAAATGCTCTCCTCTTCCTTCTCCCTTTTCTCCATCTTGCATGACATTTTGGGGCCTCAAGGAATCAGAGTCAGATCAAGAACAGGAAGAAGAGGTAATTTTATAAGTGTCACTTGTTTATGGCTGTGTTATTGCTGTAACCACTAACAAGACCACATGCTTATCCTGTGATTTTTAGAGCAGTAGAGAGTTGTTCTTAGTAATTAGATGGGTAGAGTTTTAGTTAACCTCTCCAAGACTCTGTTCAGTAATTTTTAGGAGTCTAATGTGGTCCCAACACCAATAAGCTTGGGAATCACCTATGACCAAAAACCTTTCAGGACCATTTATTATACTATAATAGGAAACAATATAAAACTATACTAATAATGAGCATTTCCCCTAAGGTATAGTTAACTTAGTGTTCCACACACTTCTCAACATGGATCTCTCTCATACACAGATGAAAACAAGTTCTAAAGAGGTTACCTTGAAAAAGGTTGGCACTTAGGTAAAAAAAAGTTTTCTTATTTAAAGCAAATATGTTTGTCTCCTTTATAAAGATCTGAAAATGCCCACTATTATAACAGAAATGAAAGAAATCATTGGAAAACTCTTTATATTTAACCTACTAATGGATCAACTCCTGTTTCTAAGGCAAATTATTATATGCATGCATTTTCAGATTTTATAGTTTGGGGTTTTTGGGGCTTCTTTTGCCTTTTTTTTGAGATAAGGTCTCCCTGTAGCCCCAGCTGGCCTGGAACTCAGCATATAGACCAGGCTGGCCTTGAACTCACAGAGATCTGAGTGTTGGGATTAAAGGAGTGTGCCACCACACCTGGCAGATTTATTAGTTTTTTAAATATTATACTGATACATCTGAAATATAAGAATGTAAAGAAAAGTACAATAAACGCTAGGTATCCACTAACTTAAAATGCAAGACTTTAGTTCTAAGGACTGCCCCCAATTCATTTTTTCTCTCATAGGAGATGCAGGGGGCTCTTGGGGGTGGCAGCCATAGACTTGCTGGGCTATGATAGCCATACCATCAACAGATAGAATGACTGGTCACTCTTCCCCTAACTGCCACACACTCAGTTTTCCTCCTGATCCTGTCAGTATAACTGTTATAATGTGATAGCTATACATGTTCTTTAACAGCCAATAAAACTATTAACCAACTTTGCTATATTGACAGATGAACTATTTCCAATTAGATGTGGTTTTCTATTGAATGCTTTAAGTACTTGTTCAGGCAATAGGTTCAGTTCTGAAAAAGTTTGTCACTCTCTTCTTTTTCTCCATTAAATTGACAGCATTTAATACTGACTTTACCCTTTTTCTGAACTTTTCTCTCATATGCATTTCTCACATTCAATGCAGCCTGGGTCATCTTTTCCCAGGAATAACATGTTCAACCTGTAAGAAACACACACACACACACACACACACGCACACACACACACACACACACACACACACACACAAATTCTCTAAGACTGAAGAGAAAACTAACAGATGCCTCTGATTCTAGCCTACGGTGTCACTTTCATGTTTATAATTATGAATTGGAGATTACTGTGCACATAAGGGGCTCTGAGCCAAGAGCTGTTTGTAACCATTGAACTTATGTATGTTTTCTTTCAGATCTGTATGACATCAGAAAAAAGTAAGATTTTTAAGTAAAATTGAGTTTGTTTGAAAGCTGGCTTTAATAAAAGAAGCATGAATTAAGATGCAAGCTAGTTGCCATTACTAACCACTATAATAATAATATTTTTATATTATCCTAATTAAAAAGCAGCTTGGCCAGTTAAGTTACAAATATACCTAATTTGGAGCTAATTAGCAATAAATACAATGATTATTCATGTAAGCATTCACTTTCTTTTGATATCCCTGTTCCCCCTGGTATTGCTGTTCTCCTTGTTTAGAAAGCCACCCCATGTTTTGTCCATTTGTTAGCATAACATTGTCACCTCATTATTTTTAAGCAATGACTTGACAGTATTACTTTTTATGTAAAGCAACAGTGATTTCTGTAGAGCATTTTTTTGAAGGAAGTACCTGCAAAAGTGATACTGTCTCATAGTTTCTAGCTAGAGCTGTTCCCTCACTCTAGCTGTCCTTGTACTCTTACTGTGGTGAAGTTTTCAGGAGGGATCTAAAGACTTTTGTGAGATTTTCTGAGAAAAGAAAATAAAGCACAGCTAGGAGCCAAGAATGCAACCATTACAGTATCCTTGGTGAATTACTGATCATTGTAATCTGTCATTTTGGGCTAATTGTAAATAATGTTGCAAAAATGCCAAACACAGGAACCATACCTGAAAAGAGCTATCTTAGAATTCGCTTAATATTTGTAATATTCTGTTAACATATCATCTTATTGGCCTGTTCTCAGTGACTCTTTGGCTCAAGTTGAATTTTATAGATTCTTCTCCCTTTTATACCTCAAGTACTTTAGAAAAAATTCTGACTTGTGAAGTTTATTAATTTTTAAGATTTATTTTGATTCAGTATATCTCAGGCTAACATTCCAGAAAGAAAGGAACTCAGAACCATGTCTAACATGATCATTTGCTGATGATCTGTGGGACTTGTTCTTTCAAAGTAAGCACAGAAGACTTACCCTTATTTTTCCATCGTTATTCAAGATGAAAATATCTGAGATTCTGGATGCATTCACTGATTTATATAACTCAACAAATCTGTGTTAGTATAAATTTATTTTAAGGTATTTTATATTTGTATGTTTATGTACTTTAGCTCCTTAACAAATGCAGATTCTTTCCCAAGAAGGCAATCTTGTTTATACCACTTATTATTGTTGCCTTCATTGATTGTTTTTAAGTGATTTTTTTCCCTCTTTCTTGTCCAAGGAGAAGACACAATAGTGTTTACGTAAATAGTCTTTTCCTTTGCTCCTATGTACAAGCTAATAGGAATTAAAAATTTTCATCTGGGTCAGTTAAAAAAAGAATAATGTTACCATGTTGTTATAATGCCATGAATTCTCCCGAATAACGCCTAGATATTATGAATATCTTTCAAGATTTCAAGTACAGATTCATGTTTTGTTTTAAGTTTAAAGACAATCATTAACACCAGGTGTGGTGGTGCACGCCTTTAATCCCAGCACTTGGGAGGCAGAGGCAGGTAGATCTTTGTGAGTTTGAGGCCAGCCTGGTCTACATAGTGAGTTCCAGGACAGCTGGGGCTACAGGAAGACCCTGTCTCAAAAAGACAA